AGTTATTTTTCACCTACCAAGAGTCTCTATTCACAGAAAAAATTAAGATACCGTTTGAAAGGCCTACAAAGTTGTTATAATGTAACAATCATAATTTTCCAATTTAGGGGAAAATCTCGCCGATTTCGGTGAAGTCCTAATGTGAGTCTTTAGGGGGATATTTTCTTGCAACTCAAGCTAAGAACAATTTGCTTATCAACTACAAGTTTTAGGAAATTAGGGCGATTAAGCTCTTTTTATTAGTTCCTGAAAGGTAGGATTTATACTTCGTATATCCAGACGTCTATTCAGGATTACTCCGTTAAGAGATAATAACATCTCTGTTCTGAGGTTATTATTCCGTTTACTTCATACATCTGTAGTGACTCACGTTTATCACGAGAACACGACTGGTTTAATAAAAACAATTATTATTACAACCAACTGTACCAGTGTTTGTTTTAATGTGCTTTTGTTTGACTGTGCTAATGACAGCTATTTTGTGCTTCCATTCTTATGCTTACACTTCGATTGTAACTTCGCGCGAATTCGGTTACCTTCTGTAACCAAGCTTGTATCCTGGCACGATCTCGGTATCCTTTCGATGCCACGAGATCGCCAGTTAATAAACCTCGACTTGGTCCATTAACTGTCTTCTGATATTTGGCTTCTCGGGGATTTTATGGAGTCATTTGGAACGAGCTTCTTACGCCTTCTGATTCGCTTGGCACGTGTTTCTTGGTAGCGGTGTTCATAGTTAATCTCAATTCGCCACTACAATTGGTAATCCCAATTCGACTACAATTGGTGACCCGTATTTTGGAACACGCCTCAACTTCTGATCAAATCTTCCAAAGAAGCCAATTCGGTGAGTCTATGATTTATCTATCCACGTCTGTCGTATATTTTCATATTTCTTAATATATAATATACGCGACATGACGGATAACGATAAGAATAGTATTAATATAATAGACTCACACGTATGTGTACCGAATCCTTGTCACTTTTTATTCGCGTGATGATGAATTCCACGCTTTATTCGGGAAATGTTACCCTATTAACGATTCTCCTCGCTGACCCGGCTGCTTGGTACGGAATGCATACGCATAAGCATATCCGTCTACCACCCAGCACCAAATGGTTAAGTTGAACGGTTTCACTGCCAACTTAAAAGTGTTCTACGAGCATACGAAAACGGCAACTGGCACGAAACCTTACCGCTCGTTGTTTTAGGGGTGAGAACGAGCTTAAAGGCAGATATCCAATGTTCCGCCACTGAGCTTGTATACGGCACGACATTGCGTCTGCCCGGAGAATTCTTCACACCACGGAGCAGACCTAATTTCGGTAAATCAGACTACGTCCATCGACTGTCTGCATTTATGCGAACGCTGTCTCCGGTGTCAACTCGAATACAACATAGACAGGTCGCTCTCCCTCGAGAGTTATCTACCTGTTCACATGTTTTTGTACAAGTAGATTCGGTACGCAGACCTCCGCAACAACCTTACGAAGGCCCTTTTCACGTGATCGCTCGTCACGAAAAGACCTTCAAGGTTGATCGATATGGCCGCGTCGAGATCGTCAGCATTGATCGTCTCAAAGCAGCACACGTCGATGACAGTGCCCTATCTGACAACCTGAGATTCAATGCTAGACCTAGCAAACCTACTAGCGGGATCCTCAAATCATCTTCAGGTCCCACGCTAGATACATCTGAGACCTCATTCTCACGTCCCAGTCAACAGCACGCGTCATCTGCACCGTCTACGGACGAGACGACAGTCTCACGTCCAGATCAGCAGACCACGCCGCCCTTGACTTCGGATGAGATTGCAGGCTCACGCGACGCGAACGAGACTGCCGTCTCACGTTCCGGTCGCCGAGTACGGTTACCCGTACGCTTCCGCGAATAGTCGCACAGTCAACAACCGATACGGTGTAGGGTTATTCCTATGCTACATGCATGCTACACTCCTCTTTTTTGATTTTCTTTTTGTTTCCTGAGCCCATGCCTTCGACCATCTACGTTTGGTTCCGTCGACTTCAGTCAACTTTGGCGAAAGCTGGCCTGATCACCCACGCTCTTGTCAACGTACTCAGTCGATATATTGGTTTCGAATGCTTGGCATATGCTTGGTCTCGAACTTGGTCGTTATGGTCGCTTCTGGTTCATCGGCTCAACGTGGTTTCGTCCTTCGTCTGCAGCGTTTATGGTCCGGACCCGTACGAACGCCCTCTTCAGATTCTGGATACAAACCACTCTGGTGTAGCATGCCAACTCGAGCAATAAATACAACACATCGTTCCTGGTACTGTTCTCCGAAAACGACCTTCGTTGGCAACTCGACGATCAACGATCGCTTTCCTGTTCGCCAATTCTTCCGTCCTACAATCGCTCGTCAGCCGATCAGTCCCACGATTCAAAACGCAATTTATCGAAAGCGTAAACCCTTTCTAGGGGGGGGCTCCTGTAGTGACTCACGTTTATCACGAGAACACGACTGGTTTAATAAAAACAATTATTATTACAACCAACTGTACCAGTGTTTGTTTTAATGTGCTTTTGTTTGACTGTGCTAATGACAGCTATTTTGTGCTTCCATTCTTATGCTTACACTTCGATTGTAACTTCGCGCGAATTCGGTTACCTTCTGTAACCAAGCTTGTATCCTGGCACGATCTCGGTATCCTTTCGATGCCACGAGATCGCCAGTTAATAAACCTCGACTTGGTCCATTAACTGTCTTCTGATATTTGGCTTCTCGGGGATTTTATGGAGTCTTTGGGAACGAGCTTCTTACGCCTTCTGATTCGCTTGGCACGTGTTTCTTGGTAGCGGTGTTCATAGTTAATCTCAATTCGACACCACGCTACAATTGGTAATCACATCTGTTGGAACCAGCGACTCTCCGGAGGGATAGTTTAAAGAGGATCATCGATACCCTTTGAGAATTTTTCGAGGAAACCCGACAACTAGCTGTTTTCCTGAGTTCTGTGTAAAGTTCATACAGACGGACGGATTATTCTGGTATGCCTCCCACTGCGATAACGCTTTCAAAGTTTTAAAATTTGAGCCAACTATATGTCCATTTAGTACTACTTGGTTCGAGGTGAATAGTTGCGAAAAATTAGCTTATAGGAGTTAATTGATCTTTATAGTAAGGTAGATTTTATGACATATCGTTTGTTTTCCCCAACATCTCTTCAGGTCTAACAGCAGCTTTATATAGCTATACCGTACTACTTGCACTTTTAAGGATAGAAGCATACACAATTGACTACTGTTTAAAAATGTGAAATAATCGTTGCATGTAATTCCCAATCATGTTTTAACAATCAAAAAAAGAAAATTATACAAAATCGGCTTAGTTGTTTTTTCACCCTCGTTTCAGCGCTACAAAATGGTTTCACGTCCTGGGTAGCATCCAATAAGTTTAGTTCAGCTATTCACATTCATTAATCCTCAGAGCCGTAGAACTACTGAAATCAGCAGCTAATGCTTTAGTGGACATTCGTTTGATTAGTTGCATTAAGATTGTCGAACGAGAACTAGAAAGACAAACAGTTGATACTCAAAAAAATGAGCAAATAAATGAACATAAGGAGGTTTTATAGTAAGATACAACATAACGGGTAGGAATAAAACAGGAGATATTTCGAAGTATGTTGCGTGTCAGACAAGTGAGTGTGAATATCGAACCGATATTCCACATGAGTATAGTCCGTGAATACTACTTACTTACAGCTTCTTATAGGGACCACAACATTTTCAACTGAAAGTTAATCATTTAACATCAAATAGTTAAGTATCCATAGTCTACCACTGTGTCTTGTTTCCCAGGTACTTGAAAATTTTAATGTTACCAGTTTTATTTTTATTGAACCATCCTCTCCACTTCTAAGATCTCGAGATAATTTTAGTATCATCTAGATATATTCATCTGGTGTCTGCATCGTATAGTTGGTGAACAGAATGTGCATAGAGTCGGACTCTGTTTATTATTGTAGCTCATTAAGATTATATGTTTTTTGAGTAGATAGTAAATAGTACCCTACTTATTCGGGCTAATAATACCATTTGACTTCCCCGACTAAGGTAGAATTCTGAAGTTTTTCGATGTAAGTTTTGGATCTGTAAAATGTAAGGCAATTCAGTGAAGATCCTTATTAACAAAGTTTAAGAGAAACTGGAGTATTTGACTTCATAATTGTCTCACTAGTAATTCTGTATTAGTATTATCGGGTTCGTAATCGGTGAATAGTGAAGAATTATAGAATTCCGGTTTGCCACTTTTAGTCTTGAGTTCCTAAACGGCTGTACATATAATGCGACGGTTCTCCCTATTCTATGGTGACTGTAAAACGTAATAATACACTCAACCTGTGCCCAAACCTGAAGATTTTTTAATTTTGATTCTCTATATAAGCTGTTGAAAATACATCAGTTTGAAAATATTCCTATATGAAACGTTTTACGATGTAGTGGCTGCCATTAGAAACCAAGTAAGATGAAGTATAGTTTTAACGAAATCAGTTCGGGGACTCAAATTCAAGCCTTATGAAGAGTGCCACCAATCACAGAACCTTTACCCATTAGAGTATAGCCGCCTTAGAGGTGACCTTCTAATGGCTTACAGCATCGTCAACAATTCTGGATATCCCCTTGAGCACCTACTTAAGTTTAGCTCCAACACAAACCTAAAGGGTAACACCCAGAAACTGGAGACAATACAGCAGAACGGACTGTAGACACAATGTCTACTCTTGAAGAGTCATCAAATGCTGAAATTCATTGCCAGCTGAGCTTCCCAAGAGTCTTTTAGGAGGAAACCTGACCCATTCTTAAGGACTGAGAATAATATCTTGCTATGATTTACCACTTTGTTTTTCCTCTATTATCAATAATATACCTAGGTTCCAGCCTGGAGGTGTTTTTGATCCATTGCCATTAGACACAGAAGCCCGTTAAGGGAAAGCCTCTTCTATTCCGTCCACAACCATTTGAGCCATTTGAACTGGTGACCTTCATCTTGGATTCAAAAGGGTGGGCTACACTCACTTGAATCGAGAGTTGTTATGATTTCACTCTCAGTCTGCATTTAGAATCCTCGAGAACTTTTCTTACAATAAAGACCTGTTTGAAAAAATGCTATAGATAGACTGTTTAGTATTCACTTAGCTGTGTGTAATATATGTTACATTCGTTATATGACCCCCCAAAAAAACATGGAACCAAACGAATTCCTTATTAGTTCACTATGCCGTTCATGAAAGATTTCATGTTACCTTAGTCTGTCAACTTAACTTTATTCCAAATTCAATGGAAACTTTTGGTTACTCAAATACTTCAGCGTTTCATTCTTTAATATGAGGAACCAATCAACCCTTGCTGAGAATGTGGTCATCATTGAGCCTGGTTCTTTCCATTTACGAATCGGCCGTGCTGTAGAGATATTGCCCAAACGGTTTCCACATTGCATCGCCCGTAAACCCAAACCTAACGTTTCACCTTGTGTTGAACCTATTATCAATCGACAGAAAGCTGCTTGTGACTCATCCTCTCTCCAAGAATCAGTAAGCACAATTAGATCATTTGTAAATACATTGTTTAATTTGAGTTACTCACCCGAATTGAGTGGGTTACCTGCTGTCACTCCATCTAGATTGGAGCACACTGAAACTGAAGATACAAAACTTTTTGAATGGGAGTCCAATACACCTTTAGACCAGGAATTCTATGCATTGAATGATGCTTTTAATCGTGGTCTCAAAGATGGTTATCATATTAATTGGCCTATGCGTTATGGGTTTTTATCGACATCTGCAAACTACAGCGCCATACTGCAAGATCTGGAAGACATTTGGTCTACAGCTTTGGAAAAACATGTATGTATTTTGATCGCTTATTTATTGTGAAAGCTGAATATTCAAAAAGGAATTATTTTGACTGACTTGTGCTTTAGAGGAGGAACAATCATTCCTATACTTACATATTTGTTATTCATTTGATATGTATTAAAGTCATCAGACTGTGATATACCTACCGAGAATTGAGCAGTTATTGTTCAACTTTAATGGCACTTTAAATGATGATAATTCATGTTTCATAATCAAACCGAAATCATTGGAACCGTAGCTCTTAGCTCATAAGATTTTGAAGAGTATTATGGCTGGAGTCTTCAAACAGAATGCTGATAATGAGATCTAGATTGCCATTTTGGTTTCCTATATATTTTCATTCGTTGATTGTTTCGTCAACTCTCAGTGAGGAAATTCATTTCAGCATTCATTTAACTACTCAAATGTCTCGAAATTTACTAGTGATTTCTAGTTTGATGTAAAGCTTATAAAATGTTTACTTATTTCTAATAATTTGATAGTCTAATCGGTAGTATTTACGTTTTGTAAACGGTAGATGATGATCGTGTTATTACAGCTCGGTAATCAGGCATTGATCTTTGTACTAGACTTTAAGTTGTAAAGAGGAAAAACGGATCCTGTGTAAAGGATGGCCCCTAAATGCCCTGGTACAGCCGAGTCCGCTCTCTTTCTCGAAATGCTCTCACATGGCCACGTGCATACAACCACCGCCAGGGAAGTCCTACTCACTGCTTTTTCGCGGCGAGGTTGTTTACGAAATTTAGAGGACAAAGCGGGTTGGTGGACACAGGGAGTTCACCTAGAGGAGCTAGAAAACCCTGATTCCAAACCAATGGTGCGCATGAACTCCAGTATCATGAAGGAGCAAATGGCGAATGAGCTTATTGTTGGTTGCCGGTTACCATGGGACTGCATCACCGGACGTTACTTCACTGCCTTGTGGATCAGACCTTCAGGTCGAAGGCTACGAGTGTGCCCCATTAAGAAAACCACCTGCTTTAGTTTGGGCACCCGGATAGTATCTCAGCCCTCACACAAATCGAATAATTTACGTGTCGCAAATCTATTTGGTGCTTCCTTGTACCAATATTTATGTGTTCAAATAAATAAAAACGAATAAGATAGAAAAACCCTATTCTTATTGCATCTTAAGAAAATCATCATTCATATAGGTTTTTTTAAAGACCCAACATATCAATGTACAGAGGAATATATCAGTGAGTATGTAAAGCATTTTTACTGTTGGCTTATTTAAAAGAGTTATTAGGATACCCGAAGTTCGAGTTTTGATGCTTATTGACACTTATTGATGTGAAATATCTGAAATGTCTGGGGATTTTTATGCCTCTTGTTATTTTTGTGATACTGAGCAATTCTACCTACAAATCATTGCTGAAAGTATTTGGTTGTATGTACTCATTATTCACTGGATAGTAACTAGCATTTTACCTTGGTGCTCTTTCCTGACGGAAGTTAAATTTCCCAGTTTATTTTCTAAACTGAGTTTACGTTGTGTTTTGAATTTAATTAAGTTACAGATTGAGTTTCCAATACTCCTACTTAAGTTTAAGTACTTTAAGGTTATTATTACCTCTCATACAATAGGTTTTGCTTTAGATTGAGTATAAAAATCTATACTTGATTACTGAGTTAAATTATTAGTTTGATCATATTCGAACGTTCTAATCATCCGTTAAAGTGTCTAGGAGTTATAGTGGTGGTAACATTGGGAAGTAATGTTAAATGACCATTCACTAAATACTTATTTATCGTTTAGATTTAAAATTTGATCTCGAATAAGAAACAGTTTTATATATTTAACTTTCTGTCTTTATTATTAGATTGGTATTGCGCGATCGAATCTTAGTAATTACAGAGCAATTCTAGTGATCAATGATGTATATAAAAGAAATGAAATACGTTATCTAGTTCATTTACTACTCAACCGACTAAAATTTGGACGTGTTTTTGTACATCAAGCTAGTGTCTGTGCTACCTATGGCATTGGCTTACCTACTGCTTGTGTTATCAATATAGGTGAACAAAAAACCAGTGTATCCTGTGTAGAAGATGGAGTGGCCCATACAGAAACTCGCATCATCTTACCGGTTGGACGAAGTGATGTCCTACGAGTATTCCATTCTCTTGTACTACCTAATGGGTTTTGTAACAAGGAAGGTTGCATTGTGTAAGTTTATGATAATAAGAGGTTTGTCTAGTGGTTTTTACATGTCTGCCGTACTCCGAAATCTCTTTAGATTAAAAAATCATAACTACACTCTTTGAATATAATACAGAACCGTAATCCTACATCTAGTCTGTTAGTTTTTAAAACTGGATCCATCTGTTCCTTTTAATATTTGAAATATTATTAGAATTCTAATATAAAGTTACCAATCATCCTGCTTTATGTGTGTTTGCTTCACAACAGTTGAAACCAATCATAATAATATGTGGATCAGTATATCCTCCACTAACTTTATATTATTGGGTTTGTTTCCGAAATCTGTCAGAAGTGTAGTACCAAAATAACCTCAGAATAAAATCGTATAACTGTCTATTACACTTTTATTTCTAATGGTTATATATATATATGGTTGGAGGTATTCGGGAAGAAACCTCAGACCTATGTTTCGCCCTAGTTGGCACTCGTCAACAAGGCATACTTGCAATCTTGAAGCTTTTAAGAACCCGAATAGCTCAATGGTAGCATCTCAGACTGTGAGACTGGATAACTCAAGCCAGTCAGTCGCATCGTAAAACCTGGTACGTATGTACAGCGGCTCAAGCTTCCACACCTCATTAGTACAGCAAGATGAAATGGTTATCGCAAATCCCAGAATAGAGGAGGTATTAGTGGTAATACAAAAGATTAGGCATCGAGGGCAAGAATCAATAAAATATGAACTGGCGGAATAAAAAAATATAAGGAATTTAGAAGCTTAGAATCTGAGGGGAAACAAAGAATGGATTTACCTGCATCATCGCAAACAGTTGAAGCCATGCCACTCAAAGTCTTTAACCACTAGTTACGATAACCACACGAACCCCAACCTGATTGTTTACGTCTGTCAACATAGCTCAGTCCAGTTGTATGTGACTTCATAGGCTGGTGTTGTTTTTGATCTAGCGCCCCAACCTTTCTCCCAGCCTACTCTCAGACTATACAACAGTAGTCAAGGTATGCGGTGGTTGGGATATGTGTTACGTGTTCCCGACCACCTCAGTTAAGGACTTATTATTAATGAATTTATTCACTGTTATATTTTGGTTCAATATAAAGTTAAGTTCTCAGTACGAGGTATTTCAACAAGTTTCGTTTACAAAACAAAATCGACTGGCCATCTTTATCGAGTACCCTAACCCATGCATTCCTTACTCGGTGATCCTGAATACACAAACAATGCTCAAATACTATTAACCTACAATTATCATCTATTCTTAATGGCCATGTTTCACATTTATAAAGTAGAACGGAGCAAACTATTGTGCAGTAAACTTATCATTTGGTTGGTAGATGAATATTTCGCCTGCTCTGCAAGTGAACATAAGCCAGTCGAGCTTTCTGAATACATGCCATGCCAGACGTCAGCTCACCAAGACTGATAAAGCGGTAATACGCTCAACTACTCCACTCCCTATCATTAATTTAGGTTTTGATGCAGGTTAGCCGTGAAGCAACATTTCGTATTTAAAGGGAGAGAGTCGGACCGCATACATGCTTTTATCGTTGATTAGGGTGGTCAGCAGGCTATCATCAGCATCTTCACCAAACAGAACTATATCTGCGTATTCGAGCCATAATCCTACAGTAGCCATCACTTCCTCAATATCCCATTAACGTCTTGCTGATGAGTGTCAACTAGCACGAAACAGGTTCTGAGTTTCTTAATGACTACTTCTAGCCACCTAACATCTCATCATAGTCCACACGATGTCCAGTTACTCAGACAAGTAACCATATTGTGAAGTAATCGATAAATTCATTCAAGAACAAAGGACCAGACATTATATATATATATATATATATATATATATATATATATATATATATATGGCGTCTAATATTTTTTGTCTCAGATTTTATTCAGACACCGTCATAAAAATTGAACAAGATTCAAGAAATTCGGATATTTGACAGAATTCATCAAGAGGGAAGTTTACACTGACTGGTTGAGTTTTTTAATGTAGAAATATCTTTATATTTAAAGTAGAAGTGGTTCAACGATTTAATCATGAACACACTCAACTTAAACTACCTGGGTTACAGGTTCAATTCAGCGCTACCTACCCCAGTTTGGGCAGCTGGATAATATCCTTAGCACTAATAAATGACGTGTGATTCATAGCCGGTTAAATTAATTGTTGAGTTGGACCAAGTTTCAGAATTGTCTTCTGAGATTATCTACCATTAATAGGCGCATTAGGATATTAAAAACTTTGTACAAAATCATTTCAGTGTTTCAAACGAAGGATGAGTTTATCACTCATTGTGCTATTTTTCCTCAAGATACCCGTCAATGATATCCTAGGAACAAAGTGACGTTGTAGATTTTATTACTTAAAGAAATTTCTCCCACCCTTCTAGCGCAAGTTCGTTTTGGAACATTGTTAGTTCCGGTTGCATAATCGGATCACAGAGTATTAGTGTAGACGTGAAGCATAACTTACTAGGCAGAAGTAGTCAACCGATTAATAATTCTATAAACTCATTGAATAAGGCAATTAAAACATGTTATACATGTTCAGCCATCTATCTCAATGTTATATGCTTGTTACCATAAGTGTTTAAAAACAGTTGGATGGTAGTTTAACCAAGAAACGGCATAATATACTTGAAGTCAGTCAGTCATACGTAACGTAGATACTGGCGCGTGTGCACATCGGTTCAAATTGACACGCCATTTGCACAGGAAGATGTTGTTAGTGTAAATCCCAGAATAGTAGAGGCAGTAGGAATATTAGTGGTAGCAAAAAGGTCAGGTGTCAAATATATGATTTGAGGAAATATGGACTAGTCGGATAGGAAATTTAAACTTCGTAGTTGTAGCCTATTAATTTTAAAAGGTAGTTGGAAAATCTAAGTCAAGTGATATGCAGTTGTATTCATTCTTTGCCTTCCCCCTTCTATCTTGAGCTTAGTGCCATCTCATCCTTCAATAAGGTTTTTTCTGGATTATATTTTCTGATTATCCAAATATACTAACATTAGTCTTATTATTGCGATTCCTTTGCTTTCCATCTTTTTAATCCACTGTACTGATGTGAGCTAAGTTGGTTTACACCAGTACGTATGTCTTAGGCCATTTGTGGTCTATAATATTATTGCCATTATGTAATCTGTAATGTTTTATATCGTGTCATATGTGATTTCACGATCGTGTGTAACTTGTTTATTTGTACATACACAAACCTAAAACTGATTTGGTTTAGGGATTTAAAATATGAATATCTTTCTGACGTGGAAGATTTACGCACACTTATGGAGAATTCGGTCCAATGTACAATAAGTTTACTATGTCAAGAAAACGAGAAAAATAAGCTCGATCAAGAAATCCAATCGAAAGCTAACGAATCGTTATTAAATAATGATTGTTATAATATAACACTTCAATGGACACACAAACAAAATCAATATGATATTTCATCTCTTCATCCGTCTACAGTTCTATTATCACATATACTTCCATTTGCTTGTATTTCTTCATGTGTTCCACCAAAAGAAATTTATTGTACATATCAAGTACCTTCACTACAATCATCAGAACCGGATGATCCTTTTGATGATATGTATATATCTTTGACAGCACGTGAACGTCGTAAACGTGGTTTACCGAATGAACATCAATCAACTATTCTACCTAATAATGAACAACTGGAAACAGAAATAGATGTTACGGAACAGGTAAAAATAATATTTTATATTAACTCAATTTACATTTGAAGCAGACAAATAAAAATGTGGGATCTTGCATAAAGTTACATCAAATTCAGTTATATCATAATTCGAAATGATAGTATAGAAAGACGAAATCCATATAATTGAAAAGATGGTAAACTTGCGATTATGAACGTAAATGTAAAGGTTGATAGTGGTGTAGTGGTATAATGATTAAAGTACTTGCCTTTCGACCATTAGGTCGTGAGTTAAAGTTCAGCTCCATCTACTTTGGTCTGAGCTATCAGACAGTATCATTAACCCACAATACAATCAGAGTGGCGCGAAGCTAAAATAAATCTATATGTAGTAAATAAGTTGAAATAAAAGAGAAGGAAGGTTAAGGATAAAGTGCCAATGTAATTTCTAACGTGTAAAACATGGTTTTATTTCCGTTACTACGATTGGTTTTTTCTATGTAATTTTGGATATCCAAACATCAATATGTTATCTAATTAGAACAACATCACCCATTATATTTAAACCATTCTACACGTTTCAAAAGATGCCATATCGTACTAGAGTTGTAGAATTTTAAAACTAGTCCCATCTCTTCAGTATTATCAATATGTTATAGTGGTAATTATAAATAAAGAGAAATATAACAAAAAAATAAACCTGGTATGTGATTCTCAAGATTCAAGAAAATTATAATAAACAATTTAAATGAAGGGTTAGTTTCGTAATATTATATCTTTATTGTAAATCTATGAAATCAGGAAGTAGACAGTTAAAACTTACTTTTGCATAAAGCCACTTAATAACATCCCTCCATTAAACATCTAAATACAAATGCGAACTTTCAATTATAGAATGTTAATCAACAAAGATTACTGTGTGGATCTGTAGCCATAACTGTTAAGAATTCAATAAATTAAATGGGCTTTGGATCCATAATTTTGTAGACCATTGAACGTTAGCTCCTGATCTGACATCAGTTACTGATGAATTTTATCCAAACCAACTTTTCCTATTGAAATTATTAACTGTCAAGTAGTTTTACTTACTGATATGTTTCACATAGTTTTTTTTTACAAAGTTAATCAATCGAGCTTGTATTTAATAGTTTGAGCATTTTCACCATATTTTCTCTATAGGTGGCTCCAGTAGACAAACCCCTTCCACAAAAACCTAACTCCTTTGAATCCCTTCCAGAGGCAGTTTGGTGGAGTATCAATCAGTGTGCAAACTTAATTGGTTCTCAAGTAGGGTCAGAAGTTATTGTTCAAACCTCTGGTCTTGCACCCGGAAAGCCTTCTCAAAGTTCAAGCTCCGTAAGTGACGAACTACGTCGACGTTTGTTAGGATGTATTATTCTTACTGGTGGAGGGGTAGCTGGTGTTAATAATCAAATAATTGAAAGATGGTTGACTGAGCAGCTAATTGTAATAGCACGGGAAAAACAAGCAGCAACAACCGTATCAAGCCACATACCAACAGTTGAAATCATTCATCACTCTGAACCTGGAGACCTCTCTTGGTCTGGTGCTAGGTTGCTACTTACTTCTGACTTGATGAATGACTTGTGGATCACACCAGTCGAATGGAACAAATTTGGTTCGAGAGCTCTTCGTGAAAAAGCACCCTTCCCTTGGTGATTTAAACTATAAATTGTAGATTTATGAACGCATCTGTGAAATTTCTCATTCATGTTATCAAATGCATTTATCCCAGTTATTTCTAGTTCTTTGCGTACCTGTCGAAAAGAAATTACAACTTGCCCAAGGAAATTACGTGTACTAACGTTCATCTTCATTTATATAAAGAGCCAATCCTCATCTTTATATGATATCAAGCCGTATACTGTTTAATATCCATATAGCCTAAAGTAGTATTGGTAGTCTACGAGAACACAGAGGTACTGCGTTCAGGAAGAAATCTATTAGTCGTGAAGTCATTATTTGAGGGGTTGCTTGGATCTGCAAAAGAAAATTGTCTCTGGGAATTCCGTAGTCACCTGTCATCGAAGTAAATCCTGTAAAGGATATCCCCCCCGTTTGATAAATTTCTAACGAGCTCATTCGCTTAGATATTGATTAGTGCGAATGAAGTATTGCAGTCCAAAGAACACCCGGATAATACGAGTTACCGTTCTGTCTGTACTTATTGCAAATGTGGGGAGTGGATAACTCGACTTCTCCCATTATATAGTTCTTAATAAGTTGGTAACTAGCAACTCTAAAACATCAATAAGTAGTGTTCATCAAAGACTGTCTATTAAAATGACGTATTTTAGAGTAGATAACTGGCTTATGAGGCGTCCGATCATCACTCACTTGATGAAGTCACTGAATAAACATTAGTAGGGCTATAACCAAAGAACCTATCAGAAAAATCAGTGAGAAACCCCAGGAGACTGATTCTCATACGCTATAACTCAGTTATACTCTAATATTGCGCTCGCCTACTTGCACTTCACCTTGGGTATTGAATACGCGCTTTAGAAATAAGGCAACTATTTTCAAAATACCGGAGTGTTCAGTCGCACAGACACGGAAAACTGACACAAATCAGTCAGCTCATCCGCAGACAACACACTTGTGTTTAAATCAATAAGAAGAAAAGCAGTTCAGTCGACGCAGGTTGTGGTTGGAAACACATGCAAGGATGTGTTTGATGACCACTACAGCGAAGACTTGCAATACAACTGATTAACATTTGAGATAAAAACGACTATTGACAGGATTGCAACTCACCTAAATTACGCAAGTTATGACGGATTTACAGAAACATGTGGTTTAATTTATGGCCTTCTCAGATGCAAATGATGTAGTTGCAATTTACAAGTTAAAATGAATACAGACAGTGATCGAATTGATGGAAAGTGAGACCAAACTAATATAAAGTAAATACAAATAACAAAAAATCACGAAGCCCCAGGCAACAAGCGATAAAGATAAACTGAAGTGTTGTAAAATAGGAATTAATTCAGAAACAGAAAACTTGAGCACAGTTGTTCTCCATAACGTCATCCTCCAGCATAATGTCAGTCATCTGCAACGTAGGACCATGCGCGTACATGCATCAATTCAAGTCGCCATACCCCACTAGCACGACAGGCTAAATACCAAATTCATAGAAGCAGTTGCTCCAATGGTATAAATCTACAACTACTGTACCACAATAACCAAGACAAGCTACCTTTGTATTATGCCAGGTGCTATGTTGTTTTTAACCGATGGGACTAGTCACCACTATGTTATGAATGTTGGTTACAGCTTAAATATTTAAAATGCGTCGACCAGTATAGTTAAAACGTTGTGCAAGAAGTGTGGGTTAACTTTAGTCAACAGAGGTTATGCAAGGACCTAGTGCTTAAAAGAAGTTTAGTCTCATGAGGAATAATAAGACAGATTTAAGCTCAACCGGATGTCCGTAAGGTAATATTGTTACCCGTGTAGTCAAACTTTATTCCTAACCACTCACGTTCCAAAACAGCCAGACTCGAGAAAAATCAGTATAAGAAAACTAACACGATAAATTATATTATATATATTAAAGTCACATAAAAGCTGCAGAAAAAATGAATATTCATATTATGTATAATATGGAGAAGGACAAGTCACACAAATATAAATAATAATACACATGACTATTAAGCACATGCGCATAAAAACAAATTAAAGAAATGCAAACTAATGTGCGTATATCTAAAAAAAACAAACTAAGTTACATAAAAAATAAAACAATTATTATATAAAACCGTCCAGCCTAATTGGATGTCCATAAGAGGGAGATAAAATAGGACATTTGTAAGTAAAACGAATAATAAACACCAGTAGCCCCCATCACAATAAATGCCATACAACATTTCTGAGATCATAGAAAACGCATTAAGATGCGACCGACGAATCCCCATTCGTATCTTCTTTTACATCATCTTCAGCTTTTTCTTCTGGTTGGTCAGAATTGTTTCCATTCTCAGACACTCCGTTAGTTAGCTTTTGATTGGACATTTTGTTTGCCAACTCAGTAATAATATCACAAAATCGCGTACAATGCTGTTCAGGTATGGTGACTGAGGAACGAATGTTAGCACGAACTTCGGATATACGCAGAAATACACCAAATCTATTAGAACCAACATCGAAATAAAATGTCTTGTTGCCTACGAAGAGTACTTTAGATTCAGGTAAGTCTGAAAATATATCTGTAAGAAAAAAAGGCAGTTTATGATATTAAATTTCTTGAATTCATATTTTTTAAGTGGTGGATATTTAGCATTAATAAAACAAGAGATGTACTACTATCCTTGATAGTGAAAGTGGTATATAAAAATTGTCTTTTAAAACTATACAATAATAAACTGCCATTCTCATTACTAAGTAGTATGGAAACGAGCCTCATATTTAGCAGGAATGTGGTGTGCAATAACAAACACACTAGATAGACGACCATTACGAACATAAAAGAAAAACCTGAACTGATAATAACTACTTTAATTAAAAAGGAACCCTATATTAACAAAAATGGCGTGGATATCATTTAGCATTTGGGTAGGGAACTTGAGCGATACGATGTTGTCCAACAACGAAAAAATCATTGAAAATGAGCCGCAAACTATGTGCCAAGACTAACGACAGTCAGTCAGTTACAACGTAGGACCAGGCACATACATGCATCGATCCAAGTTACCTCATTAGCACAGCAAGACGAACACCGGATCCATAGAAGTAGCTAATTCAATAGTAGTAGTATATAAAAGAAAGATTGCATATAGTACAGGAAGAATGAATTAGTTCGTAGAAAGAAAGATATAAAGCAATTTTAATATCTTAGTTTAAGGGAAGACAGAGAGCGTATAAACCGACGCCAGTGTGATCGATTCTGAGCCATGTCACCCACAGTCCCCAGCCATTGGTTACGATAGTCACACGGACCCAAACCAAGTAGTCTGCATCTACCAACATGCCTAAGACTAGAAGTTAGTGACTTCAAGCACTGATGCCACGTTTTTATTTGGCCGCTCCTAACTTTCTTCCAGCCATTCCCAAGACTAGTCAGCATTGCGCGTCGTGGTAACCTGTGTTCAGGCATACGTAATACGTGGCCCAACCATCTTAATCGATGAAGATTCACAACATCATCCACTGATTTACCATCATTCCATAATACAATGCGTCTGACCCCACTATTACTTACCCGGTGATCCCAGTAGATGCGAGCAATATTACTAAGGTATCTGTGGCCAAATACTAGTAGCTTACGAGTATCTTCTACTCTTAGTGGCCACGTTTCGCAGCCGTAAAGTAGAACAGAACGAACTTTTATTGATAGACGGATATCTCACCTTCGCCATAGGTGACCTATATTGGCAAAAGCCAAACGAGCTTTTTGAAACCGTGCTGAGATTTCGTCAAACACCAACCCATTACGGGTGATCAGACTTCCAAGTGAAGTTTTCAACGCGTTCGACTACTTCACTCCTTATCCTTAGTTCATGTGTTGACGCAGGCCAGCCCTGAAGCAACAACTTATATTTAGAGGGGGAGAAGCGCATTCCAAACATCCTGGCATTGTTGCTCAGTGCCATCAAAAGTCTCTGTGTTTTATCAGCGTCTTCACCAAACAGGACTATATCATCTGCGTATTCTAAGTCGATAAGTGGACCTCCAGGTAGGAGATAAGATTAACGACACTGAATGGTTGTTCAGACTGTCGAAATTCAAGTCGCCGAACTGTTCACTTTACACAAAAAATGTTTTTTATGTTAGCTGATTACTTCCAGTGAAATAAAGTTGTCTAGAACTGTCCAAATTTTCAAAGTCGTTGAGGCTGAGTTAAAACAAACAATTCCACTTTTTCTCCAAGTTATAGGATTATCCCTACTGAATTTAAAACGTCGAATTTCTTGGTGAGATTCTATATCCATAAAATCCACAGAAAACGCATTTTATTGTAAAAGCAAAGCGTTTACAGAGCCAGAAGTGGGTATACTTGTAACAAGTGATAATGAAGATTGCTGTCGTTATTACCAATCTGATTACACGGTTGTGGATCGCAATTCATTCAAATAATCCAGTCAGTCATGCGCAACGTACAACCCGTGTGTACGTCGGTTCAAGTTATCATATCCCATTAGCACAGATATGAAGTTATCAGGCCAAATCACATAGTAGAAATATAGTCACAGGATTGTTTATTTATCTATGTATTTTAACACATAGATATTGGTACAAGGAGGCACCAAATACATATGCGCCACACAAATCTCATTCGATATGTGTGAGGGCTGTGATACTGTCCGGGTGCCCAAACCGAAGCAGGTGGTTTTCTTAGGGGGTCACATCTGGAACCTTCGACCTGAAGGTCTAACCCGCAATGCAGTGGAGCATCGTAAGGAGATGCAGTCCCATGGTAGCCGTTGACCAACGATTGATTCATACGCCATTTGTTCCTTCAGAATACTGGAACCCATGTGCATTATTGGTTTGAAATCAGGGTTTTCCAACTCCCTTAGGTGGACTCTCCACGTCCACCAAGCGTCGGACATTCGCTTTTCGTCCTCTCAACTTCGTAAGCAATACTCTTGCCACGAGAAGGCAGTGAGTAGGACTTCCCTGGCAGAGGCTATATACGCGTGGCCATGTGAGAGCATTTCAAGAGGGAGAACTGATTCTCCCCACTCTCGGCCGTACCAGGGTATTTGGGGGCCACATGATTGTTAGTGTGTAGCAGAACGTAGCATCAAAGTTGCAGCAATTTTTAGAGTGGAGAGTTTTAGTGGATTGAAAGCACGGCGTTAGGATAACACGTGAAGACCAGACGAGAAGACGGCTCGGACTGCAGAACACACCGAAAGATGGAAATGGAGAATTAAAGGATACGTATGTGTATATACTCTGTAATTTTTTACAATAAACATACATTCCTCATGCCTTTTGTTTCGTTTTACAGAGATAGTAACAGTATTAGTAGTAATAGGATTAGGCATCGAACATACGATTTCAGAAAATATTGACTAGTGGAATGAAAAAAATTAGTTAGGATCTAAGGGAAGATAAGGAGTGAATGTACCCGTGCTATTGTCCCGTCTCTAAACGCGGACCCCAAGATGGTCTGAACGTACCCATACAGCTTAGTCAAAAAGTCAGTGTCTTTATAGACTGATATCAGATAATTCAACTCTTGTGCAATAATAGACATGTCGTTTACGATAAAAAAAATTGATATGAAAACATGGAGAAATGACGAAAAGATAGAGTGATTGAGAGCACTTTATAAGTGATATGATTTTCGCAAATCAGCACGGTAAACACACGTAACATATGACAAAAAAAGCATAAAAATCAGGTTTTAGAAAAAAAACCTTACCATTCTCCATATCTCCTGAATAGCCTTGTATAAGATCAGTCAATGCATTGCGCAATTCGATCATACCCTGAGCTGGGATTGCAATCTGAACACGAACGCCCATAGAAAGCATAGCGAGACGCAGGAAACGACCACGTTCATTTTCCTTGAGATCAAGATAATAGCGCCTGCTATCACGAACAATAATGTCAGACGCAATGCGCCCATCTTGTGCGAGTGACTCACGATTGTGAGATGGAAGTTGACTATATGTGTCACTAAGTTTGTTAATTTTTTCTTTCATTTCCAGAGCAACAGGCATTGACATCAAGATGCGCGATTTCTGTCCTCCATTGCCAACTTCAGTTATTTTCACGAAGCGACCTCTCTTATTTTGCTTGATATCTAGGTAGAATCGTTTATTTTGTATACGAAGAGCTTTGGAGGCCAACTCTTGTTCCTCTTGCTGCCCATCTGATATGTTACGTCGACTTAGTAATTGCAACTCACCTTTAAAGCTTTTCACAGCAACAGTTTCTGGCATTGCGCAAACTGGAACCTTCTCTAAGATACCGAACTACAACCAGCTCCTAACCAACCTCTACATTAAAATAAAAAGTGTTCATAATGAATGCTGAAAAGCTAATAAAGACGGGGGCATTTTAAACCAACTAATCTCAATCAGTAAAAACAGGTAAAGAGACAAATGCAGACCACTTTGGTGGTTATATTCACCTTGATATTGACAATTCGACTAATCACAGGCAGGGAACAATGCACAAAATAGGTTTAGTCTAGTTCTGCAAATTTGGATTAAAACACGTAAATGAATAGGATGTTGGTTACTCAGTTTAGCACTTTCTTTAATACTGAAGACAAATTATTAAAATTCAAAGGATACTGGAATACAGAAAAGACAAGGTTTTCATAATCGTAAGATATAGTTTACCTCTATTCTAACATTAGCTTCATAGCACATGACTCTAACCAGCTTCATGGATACATTTTTAAACATTTATGGTAAAAGTGTAGTATACTAACGACTTTGAATGAACCCACTAGGATTAAGTTAACGTCTCAATTATTTTTGAAGTGCAGCGATAGTTAGCGTGTTATTATTAGGCAAGTAAAAATCGGCAATATTTTATTCATAAAACATTTGGGATCACTGAAAATATCTATTATATAACAATAAAGTGGCTTTCAGATGGTGCTTACGCTAAATTACGTGAAACACCTGCTTCTAAGGTAGACTGTGTGTTAAAGTGCATAATAAGATTCATGAATTAAATTTGTCACTAAATCTTAACCCTAAGTATTTCAGGCTTGTAAACAGAAAGGCGGCAATGTACTGCATTATAGATGACATCAGTCCTTGTTGAAAACACTGACCCCAATTTATAAATCCAATTCAAAACTCCAGTTTACCTCTCAATACCCAAGCCAAACACTGATTATAAATGTCAGTTAGCGACGAAAACTATGAGGTGATAACTAGCAACGCCAGCCTGACTATTAGTATGTATGTATATACGTAAACTCATTTTTTCTCTTTGCTAAAAGCGATAATTTGACCCCAAATGCCCTGGTACGGTAGATGATGATTGTGTTATTACAGCTCGGTAATCAGGCATTGATCTTTGTACTAGACTTTAAGTTGTAAAGAGGAAAAACGGATCCTGTGTAAAGGATGGCCCCTAAATGCCCTGGTACAGCCGAGTCCGCTCTCTTTCTCGAAATGCTCTCACATGGCCACGTGCATACAACCACCGCCAGGGAAGTCCTACTCACTGCTTTTTCGCGGCGAGGTTGTTTACGAAATTTAGAGGACAAAGCGGGTTGGTGGACACAGGGAGTTCACCTAGAGGAGCTAGAAAACCCTGATTCCAAACCAATGGTGCGCATGAACTCCAGTATCATGAAGGAGCAAATGGCGAATGAGCTTATTGTTGGTTGCCGGTTACCATGGGACTGCATCACCGGACGTTACTTCACTGCCTTGTGGATCAGACCTTCAGGTCGAAGGCTACGAGTGTGCCCCATTAAGAAAACCACCTGCTTTAGTTTGGGCACCCGGATAGTATCTCAGCCCTCACACAAATCGAATAATTTACGTGTCGCAAATCTATTTGGTGCTTCCTTGTACAAATGTTCCTGTGCCTAAATAAATAATAAATCATCACGACTAAACCAGTAATTTCGTTACTTTCTACTATTAATCATTCTATGACTAGGCAGAGTTTCCTCATTGGCTAGTAGGTCGCCCAAGGTCGTCGATATATCTTACTACTGCCACATATATAACGAGATATATTTGTCACATTAATTTCAATCCAACCGCAACTAAAGTATGTGCATTACAGGTGATTACATTTAAATGCCGAGCCATGCCTTGATCAGATCCATCAGTCTAGGTGATTAGTAATTTGATAGTGTCACAGAGTCAAAAAACCCTGACTCCAAACGAATGGTGAGCAAGGGTTTAGGATCCTGAGGGCACAAATGTCAAATGAGTCCATTCTTGGTCACCGACTACCGTGGAACCGCATTTTTTAACGTTGCTTTACTGTTAAGGATTAAGTCTCTCCGGTTGGCTTTTAAGAGAACGATCTGCTTCGTACCGGGCACCCAAACAGTACTCCCGCTCACGTACACACTTTGGTAACCCTTTGCGCTCATGTTGGTTCAAATAAATATGATAGTACCAAATTAGTTAGGCTCTTATAATACGCCACAATAACTACATCACACACGAATCAATTCAGAATGTCACTCTAAAACCATCCACATCAAGTAGTTTTATCACAAATTTATCAGTTCCACCTCTAATAATTAAAAATCTTGAGATGGTTAGACGTTCTACTATTGATATATTGGATAGACACAATAAGGATATTGGATGCGCGAAGATGGGCCAGACTATACCTTAAAACACTAATCAATATGATCGCAGACTTCACACTTCGCTGACAGACATATAAAGGACACACCTCAGAAATTGCTGTACTTACGCAAATACGCCAAGTAGATGGCTTATAGACGGCACTCAGCACTTTGAAAGCATGATTAAGTGCTATCTGTCCCACTTTAGTTAGAAATCTGGGTAGGATCAAAGAACCCAAACCAAAAAAATGAGGCCAAAGGGCCAGGGACTCGAACCTAAAGTTGGCAACTGCATTGAGTAGAAACAAAATGGGTACATTTCCCCAAGCTTCTGTAAACGTGAGATATCCCAGCAAAGGCTTTTCCTATACATCTAATGGAACTTAAAATCAAACCACACATGGTCAGATGATTTATACGATTTCAAGCCATACTCTCCCTTTGCCCTTCAATGCTGAACGCTTTACATATACAACGTTTTTTGTGTAGAGAACATGCCTGTATCCTAGATCATTCGGATGAACTAATGTAAACCAGATGACTTCATTGAGTCCGGCATCAAATTTCCCCAACGAATCCTAGAGGTCAATTTTACGTTGAGATAGTTCATCACATACGGAGCAGTAATATTCAATACTATTTGAGCGTTTACACAATATAATTTAGGAAATATTTACAGATATATACCTTCAGAACGAATTAGGCAGTTGACAGCCTAGGCGCTTTAAGTAATCCCCGTGTATTTAAACAAAGACGGTTGATTAAAACTACCTTCCCGAAAACATTGAAAAGTTAGCACGTGACTTACAAAGTTACCTTTTCTGTACGACTGCATTTTTCCGACAACGTTTCTTCTATTAATTAAATCAATTCATAAAGTAAGATGGACAATAATATCATGTTCACATGAAATTATATTCTAATTGGAATATATATATATATATATATATATATATATATATATATATATTCATACTACATTTCGTCTCAGTTTTCCTTGCCTTTTTTCTCGATCATTCCGTGTACTTGTGGGAAGTGCTAATCTTGAAATCGTCAACAGGATTATACCCACCCCAAACTTATACGCGCCTGTGTTAAGGCCTGAACATCAGAATCCGAGTAATAAAAATAACACGACGTTTTGTCCGTTTCCCATGTGTCTCAAGTAAACTGCATCTATCCCATGTGACATTTCGTGGTATATGCGGCTAAGTAAACGAGTGGTTCGGCTAATGCTCCACTCGTAGTAATGAGTAAAAATCAGATTTCTCTCAACGTTTTGAATTTAGACTGTCTATGGTAGAAAATAATTTGCTTATCATCAATAAGACTGCCTACTTATGAGCGAAGGTGCCATATATGTTACCCCTTCTCATAGTCTCCATCACATTGTAATTCAAAATATCTCCCCGACATAAAGAGTGCTATGAACATTGAACATTAATGCTGGTTTTATTAGCATTATCGCACCTTACTATTTTAAAGTACCCAATCTCGTATCACGTCAATAACTATGCACCGGTCATGTTAGGTGCCACTCCTCCACTAGATAGCCGGCAAAACAGCCCCAACTCCATTTGCTTTCTACTCTATTTGAATCTGTTGTTTTCCAAACCCTCAGCTTTTACTTCCTCGGTCATCGAGATATCGTACTTTACTTATTCCGATGTAAACATCGTCTGGTTCACTGTTATGTACAGCATCTCTCAGGCCAGTGAAATAAAGCCGAAACTTACGGGGAACTGCCACTTCAGCAATAAATTTGTCATGAGGTTGAAGACGAACCATTTAGCACCATCCAATCTTATCTAGTTTACGAGCCTGACTGGTTACAACAACTTATGAATATCAGATTTCAACTCACTGGCTACCAACTTGTAGCCAAACTTGTCGTCTAACTCATTGAGTACATCAAAATTTCCTGACCTTCAGTGTGTCATGCAACCATGTAGAGACTTAATCGAATGGCAAGTATGGAACTGAAACTCAAGCAAACTACAGTTGATGGCCAGTCGGTGTCGCACGTTTAGGTAAGTTTCTGAAGATCAAGTACCCTCTACCCCCCTCTCACGATATATTATATTTGAAACCAGAGATTCGTATTAGCCATATGTCTTAATTTTTAAGTAATCACAAATGATTGACTGTAATAATAAATATGTAGACGAATAATGTAATTAGCTCTACGCGTTAGATTATTTAAAAGGATAGGAAAGGTGAAGTCTACGAAGTTAAATCCACATAATATTGTTTGATTTCTTCTGACTAAAGATAGATCTATGCATATTTCATTAGTTGAAAAGCGTTACAAGTAAACTAGAATATATCCATTGTTTTACATGTTCCTGTTATTTTTGAAGTTTCTACTATAAATCTTCTGTCGCCATTGCTTCACTGACGACTAATACATTATTCGGAATATAATCTATGCAACCTTTCTGCCGACCTCAGGATCCAAAGATGAGCAAGTGGTCACGGACAATAACTTCAGTAACAGTATTCTCAAGCAATAATCGCTTGCAGAGAAAAGTTGTTTTCCGAAGTTGAGGATTACATGGGATAAGCGAGACACATAAAATAGTCGCTAAGTTTTGTCATGAACGGATTAAGCTATAACGAATGTATATGGTCAGGAAGACGGGGTTATGACATGAAAGAACTCAATGAACGATTTCAACTCTACAGTTGCATTTACGGTCTTATTTTCGGATCATTTAATTTTATGACTTGTAGCATTAGACCCAGAACTTGGTATGGAGTAGCAACGAAAGATCAATACTACAAAGATCACAGGAAGAATTGAGCTCAAAAAAGCGGATTAACTTAATCAGCTGGGCGTTGATGATTACTGACAATAATTATTGTTCTCCAGGCGTATATATTTAATAAAGCTGAAAGAGACTTTACAAACCTTTACTATCGTTCACTCACTTTGCTGTTAGCTAACTGAACTCCCATGACCGAAGTTCAGGATTGACATATTCTACTTCATTGCGGAGGTAATTATTTAATGTAAATCGAATCGAAGGTTTTAGTTGGCAGGACCTTTCTCGAGGACAATTTTTGTCTATAACCGTATTGACAACCTTATTCGAAACACAAATCACCGAATTATCGAAAATTTAGTAACCGGTTAATGTTAAAATTAGCCATCACTGACTTATGAAACTTGAAGCAATTCTTGAAAAATCTAGAGGACTGCTCAAGACTGCTGCTCTTCTGCACAATGAAAGCCATAGAAGATAAGACCTATTTATCCAAACGAGGTTTTTTAACCTCTGTCTGACGTAAACGTTATGATAGTTACCTTTTCTTGGTTCATTTACGATTGTTTTTACATTATTCTATTCTCAATTCAGACATTTACGTCTCCCAATTTCTATGGACTTTTTG